GCAGGGACGCGGCGATCCGGAGCACCGACCCCGGCCCCGCTGCCCCCACACCCACGGACGGCAGTTTTACACCTCCTGCCCCGCGCTGGGGACGCGAAGATGCGAAACTGCCCCGCGAACCGCTCAGAGTCCCAGGGCGGTCAGTTAACGCCCCTGCGCTCCTGGTCCTCTGGTCCCAGCGGGAGGAGGCGGTGCGGGCCACCCCGCCCACCCTGCACTGGCCCCGCCGCCGCCGGGGAGGGCGCTTCTGGGAGCAGGGGCGGGGAGGCCGCGGACACCGCCCCTGGGGCAGCAAGTGGCCGCTCCCTTAAAGCAGCCTCTTCCTCCAGCGCTGCCCGGGAGCTCCTGAAGCAAGCGTTGCTGGAAAGTGGTCTCTGCTCCTCTCCCTCCTACAGAACTTCTTACAGGACTCGCGTCCTCCTTCCCGGGCTCTCAGTTCCCAGGCACGTTTCTGGATTCGGAGTTCTGTTCTTTCTGCAGATGAAGTATTCCTGGTCCCGGCATGGCCAAGGTCGGCGAGAAAACACAGGGTGCCCATGGACCACCCCCCAGATCATCCTCTGTGTTAAATGGGTCTCAGGGCTGGTTCCGAACAAGGGAGTGAGGAAACTGAATCGCATTTGTTCTCCTCCTGCATTCTACTTATCCACACGAGCAAATGCGGATCGCGTGTATCACTGTATTTTGGAACGATGCTCCTTTCCAAAGTCTTTGCGGATCTCTTCCCTGGAACCATTCACAGGCAGCCAGTGTTAAAGCTGTTAGTGAAGTGTTGGGGCAGGTCGTTCAGAGCACTCTTTAAATATGCTACCGTAAAAGGCATTCTTCATATGTGCATTTAATGCCTTGAATTATAAGAGAAGGTCGTATTGCTTTTGAATGAAAAGGGCATCTGAGCCAGAAAATTCATGCGTGTTAGTTCTTAACGGGAGAGCGAGTAAGGCCTCTGTCAGCCCTGCAAGATTCTCTCCACCGCCTTGACAGGTGACTCACATTCTAGCCCTAAGAAGGCGAGGAATGGCGGTGCTTACCTGCTCCACTTACTCCTACCCAAGGCAGACATCTTCACTGGTCTGGGCTTTCTCCTCCCTGCCGCTCTGCACCACCGCCCCCACCATGCTCCCATTGACACCTGTGTGGTAGAGACTTTTCAACTTTCCTAGGCCCTGAACCACCTGGGGGATGTTTTAAAGATAGTATTAAAGTATTCTGGCTCTTTTGGTCTGAGTCTTAAACTCTCAAGGTGAGGTTTACCTACAAAGGTGTAAAACTACCACCACTCTAGAAATCCCTGACCTCCCTGGATTCTTCTGTTCTACCCAAACTCTCTCACACCTCTTTATCTTGCTCAAGCCACCCCTGCCTAAAATCTAGTAATTCCCTCACTGTTTTGCTTTACTCACATCTAAATAAGAGGGAGAAGACTGTAGTGCTACATGGATCATTAACATACAACAAATTCCTAGTGAGAAAGCAACTGTCTTTTCCATTCTCGTAAAGATTGCCTGGTTACCTAAAGAAAAATCCTCAGCTTGGTGCAAGTATGTCTTTAGACTTTTTCCTAAGACTTGCTAGTTTTGCTTTTCATCGACATTAAAAAAGAGCCTCAACAGGTAATACCTGGAATTTAGCAGTATTTTTTAAATTTAACTATTAAAGTTTCCTACAATTATGACAAGTGCTATTGGCTTCCATCCCAGGAAGTGAAAATAATCAAAGGTATTTAAATAAAATGTGTGTCCATTTAAATAAATTAAAAAGAGAATAGTGATACCAATAAGTGCATGATGGCAAATAAGAGTAAGGTTTGGAAAGCACTGCTATAGTCCTTTTGGAGTCAAAGAAAAAAAAAAGCTGTTTAAATTCTGGGTTCACTTAGTTTTTTGGAGAGGTTTTTTGCTATAGGGTGTATGCGCTCATCAGAAAGACAGAGAGAGACAGAAAGTGAGAAGTCACCCCCTCCCCCACCCCGGGGAAATGGACACTCCGCAATTCCTTCATGTCCATTCTCTTCTCAGGATCTTGGGCACACATGTACACGTGCCAAGCATAGTTTAAGCTGCAGGGCCCGGGACTTGAACCATGGTTGACTACATGGGAGTCCAGCAACATAGCCATGATGCTAACTGCTGGTCCCTCCTGGGTTCAGCAATTTTTGGGGGGGGGGGGAGATTTTCACTCTAGGGCGCATGCGCTCGCCAGACAGACAGAGAGAGACATAGAAACAGAAAGCGAGAAATCACCCCCCAGGGGGGATGGTCACGCCGCAATCCCTTCTCCTTCTCCTCCATTCTCCTCTTGGGATCTTGGGCATGCACGCACATGCGCCTGGCGTGAGTTTTAAGCCACCGGGTCCGGGACACGAACCGCGGTCGACTACGTGGGAGTCCAGCGACATAGCCATTACGCTAACCACTGGTTCCCCCTCCTGGGTTCACTTTTAACCAGAAAGCTAATCTAACTCTGATTCTCAGTTTCCTCCTCTGTTGATGAGAATAATCATACAGTTATTTAAGGATTAGATGAGTGCTATGGTTTGAATGTGCTTACCCTCTCTCAAATTCGTGTGCTTAATTTTGGTTGTGATGGTATTAGGAGAGAGACCGGGACAAATAGGATATAAGGCCCAAGATAAGAGACAAAGTAAACGGTTACCTAGTAGCTAGTTTTGATAAAGCGCTGGTTACATTAGGGCTCAAAATAACTATAGATAAGGGCAACAGTTTCTATTTCCTAACTACATCCTAACAAGAAGCACAGATGGATATGGTCTACTGACCCCACAAAGAACAGGGTAATAAATCACCAAGACTACCATGTAACTATTTTCTGAAGCCCTCTTCCTTAGCAGAGAGCCTTTACATCTCCAGTTAGTTAGTTTAACAATGAAACAGGTTTTTATGCCTATTACTCAGTCCGCTAGATAAACACCTGTCCTCTCAGCTGCTTTGGCAGCCCACTCGGTCAAAAATGTTCCTTTTCTTGCTTATTAAACTTCTGCTTTACTGCTCCTGTGTGTGTCCGCATTCCTGATCCTTTGTAACATGAGACAAGAACCCAGTCATCTCGTAATCCTAAATCCAATGTTAGGGTTGGGCCTGATCA